AAGTTTTCCCATCAAACATGTTTGACATGCAATTCCTTGGATCGAACCTAAACTTCGGGTTAGTGGATGCCCGTGTGAAGATTTGAGGATACGACGCATCACTATTTGTCCAGGATGTCCTAAACAATCATGCCAAAATGTAATTTCGTGCGTGGTCCCAGTAGTAGGGTTGGCCACATAGTGGCATTCAATGGGGTATATGGTCGTAGTATACAGACCACTCGAGGTACGCTTCATCTTATCTATAATACGCTTCTGGCCATATTCGTAGGAACTTATGCACAGAAATTCAACTTTGTTTTCTACGTGGGTTTTAGTGTGGTAATTGTTATCTCTAATGTCCTTGAAACTTAACAACGTTTTTCCGGAACGTGGAGAATAAAGTACCTCATAAATGGTCAAGATTGTACCATTAGACAACATTATATGTGCCTTACCGTATCCTTTTATCAAGTTAGATGGGCCTGAAAGGGTTATTAGAGGTGCATTCTTAGGTATGAAGTTAGTGAAATAGATGCATTCATGCAAAACTATGTACGTGGTTGCATTATCTGCTAGACAACTAACTTTCCCACTAGTTATACCTAGAATGAAAAATTAATTTGAATCGGTCACATGCATAAAAGTTTATAAAAAAAAATATCAATTCAAAATAATTTCATTTATTCAAGGATTAAAAAACTTAATATCCAAAACAAATCACCAACTAATAATCCAAACATAAAGGAAAATTGTTCAAAAATCAACCAAAAACAAAGGAGGTGTTCGGCCACTAGGTGGAATTCGACCCTAATTGTCTTATTTCAACTAAAAATAAGTCTATATCTAAGATTCTAATCTTCCATAGGGGTGGTATCCTCCTGAAAATCAGAACCCTCTATCTTTGTAGTCTCCGATTCATCCACTTGCATGAAGTTTGATTCAAACTTCTTACAACGAGAATGATATTCATCTACAACCTTCTTGGGAGCTCGGCAAACACAGGACCAATGGTCCTTTGAACCACAGCGATAACACATGTCCATGTCCATGGTTTCAAGTGCTTTACCCTTGTTCTTGAAGTTTGGGGCCTTGGGAGCGAGGTTTGGGCACTTCTGGGCTTTGTTTCCTCCCTTGGATGGGCCTTGACTCTGTTGACCATGGTGGGATGGCTTCTGGCCACCCCTACCATGCCCTTTTTGGCGTTTTGGGCGTTGGTGATTGCTATAATGTGCTTCAGGCATAGCAGTCGCCCGATTAGGTCGAGTTTGATGATTCTTCATCAATAGCTAGTTCTGCTTTTCAGTGAGAAGTAAAACAGAGATCAAATCTGAGAACTTAGTGAACTTCTGAGCTCTATATTGTTGCTACAGGACAATATTAGAACCAAAGAAGGTCGAATAGGTCTTTTCCAGGAGATCTCTTCAATTAAAGTTTCATTCAAAACTTGAGAAGTGATCAGATTCGACAAACTTCATAATTATATTCATTCACATACTTAAAGTCTTGGAAGTGCAAGTGCTGCCAGTCGTGTCTTGCTTCAGGCAAAAATATGTCATTTTGGTGATCAAAATGATTAGCCAAAGCGACCCAGAGTGCACGTGGATCCTCCTCAGCAAGATATTCAGTTTGCATAGCGTCATGAATATGTCTTCAGATGGAGATCATAGCAGTGACTTTTTCAGCTTCACCAACAGGCTCGTCCATTGCTTCTTCAATGGCAGGACACAAGTTCTTTGCAATGAGGTGGAGCTTCACATCTTGGACCCACTTGAGGTTGTTTCTTCCAGAGACCTCTAAAGCGGTGAAATCGAGTTTGTTCAAATTCGACATGTTCCTATCACAAAATAGATGGACAAGATATGGTTAGTGTAATGGAGAAAAATCAATCCATTCATGTAGGAGTAGAACATACAGGTTCTAGTAGACATGATTTGGTTTAATTTTGCATGAAAAGCTTTTGGTTTTCAAACAAGGCACATTTATAAGAAACTTCAGGTTTCAAAATAATTATGAACTTCAGGTTCATAGATTCCTGCAGGCAAACACAAATATATATATGCAAACAAATGCAACAAGAGTATGCAAAAATAGAAAAGTTAGGTTTACAATTATAATTGAATTTATTTGGACTTTGGGCCAAAATTAAAGTGTGGGTGAAAAAAAATATAAAACCCAAGTTATTTTAAAATATTAAATAATCGAATCTCGGGGCCCAAAAATATAGGCCCAAACCCTCGGGTGGGTTGAGCGATTTTTGATCCATATGTCCCAGGCCCAAAAATATAGGCTTGGGGGGGGGGGGGTCACATGTGAACTGCAGGCTCACGGGGAGATTTGGGTAAGGGGAATGGGCTGCTGCGGGCATACCCAAAAAATTTTATTTTTTTTAACACGGGCTGCTTCAGGCAAGCCCAGAAAACAAAAAACAAAGAAAAAAATTTCTTGTACGTGGGCCGCTTCAGGCGAGCCCAGAAAACAAAATCGGTTTGTTTTTTCTTTTTCTTTTCTTTTCCGCGGGCCGAGATGAGGTAGCTCAAAATTTTGGGGCTTAGGGTTTCAACCAGAACACCCCAGCCAGAGTTGGGTGCAGTCATCGGGGGACGAAGACCAGTGCCGCCACTGCAGGCGGCCGTGTTTGGGAAAGATTTCTCGGTACAAGTTTGACAGCGAGCAAGGTCCCAGGGATGGAGGGGGGTACCTCGACATCGGTGAAAGCCTAAGAAATTTAAACTGAAATTTCGTCCAAATTAGATGAAATTCTTCAGGAATTTCAGTAAGATTGGATCAAAGATCATGACATTATGTCGGATTTATGCAGAAAATTACATAGCAAGGCCATGGTTTCACTTCAGGCGATGCGGATTTTCTGGGTTTGGGATGCCATGGGCATCGGTAGGAGTTTTTTTTTTTTTGGGGGGGGGGGGGGGGGGGGCTGGGGGTTGAGCTTAATGCTCCATGCTTGCTCCGGGTCACGAGTTCAAAGAACCCAGGCGGCGTGTTGGATTTTTTTTTTTTTTTTTTTTCAATTATAGGCATATTCAGATCAATAATATTTTAATTCAATGTATAGAGAATTCAATTCAATTTACTAATATGCATATGCAAATATAGTTGATGCAATTCATAATCAATATCAAATTCACATAATTCAACAATTATGATTACGAGGCATGTACAATTTATGTAGAATTTAAAATTCATAAAACGTAAAGTTAGGTCATGCATCATAGTGAATGTTCATGCTATCAGGGCTGCAAAAATATCGAGTTAAAAACCGTTGTTTTGGAAGAACCTAATTGCGTGATGATATGGATGAACTGGTTTGATGCAGAAAAAATCTTTAACGTTAGATTCCTAAGCGCAGCGGTAGGAGCATGCTAATAACGTGTTGTGGTCTATTTTATCTGATAAGGAGAAAGGGGGCCGGCAGCAAGCAGAAGAGAGAGAGATGTGTTCGTAGCATTGTAGGGAAATGAGTGTTGTTATCCTCCCACATTGTGTCTTTATTTATAGTAATGAAAGGGAGAGAAGATATTCCTCCATCCCCAAGGAATACAAGATACAATAGGAAATGATAATTAGAATCAAATCTAATTTAGGATTTACATAATCACACTTAAACTAGAAATGTTTACAGCATTTTGCTCCTTTTATTGGTAAATAACCATTTTTAATCTATTTTATTTGGATGTGCACTACTTACGAACGAAACTACTCCGACATTTATTTGGTTGATGGAAACATGGGCTAGAGCAATGGAAACCTCCTTCTGCAACATTAAGTGATCAAGATAAGCCATGAAAGCTGCCATTGCAAAGGTTTTTCCCAATTGGCGACATAGGTTTTGTTTTCTTAAAAAAATATTAATAATTAAAAGCCAGAAAGACCCAAAAGCCAGAAGGAAAGGATAAGAAATAAAAAAAGTGTCTGAAAAATGAAACTTGTATAAAAAATATTAATTAAATACTCAGATTTGCCAAATTTGGTAGATAACTTAATGATTTGGTTGACATATGAGATTTAATTACAGGCATTAGTGGAAAGAAAACAAATAAGTTTTAAACACAATTAATACATGGATTTGAGTGTAAGATAAGTCCACATGGCGTTCATTGAGTGAGAAATGCAAAGAGGGAAAGGCAAATGAGAAAGGTAGTTAGCATTCCTTTTGAACAAGAGGGAGAACATGCCTGTGAAATTCCAATTTATTGAGACTTCCTTGAAAACGCGTAAGATATTGATGTGAGCCGAGTACAATAACTGAGTTCCGGACACAAATTGATCAAGAAAAAACGCTGTTAATGAAACAAGAGCGTTTAAGGAAACAACATTAAGCTTGTCGCCCAGCAAAAACGAATGTTGTAATGCTGCTGTTTCCCAACTCCCAAAAACAAACTGCATTTTTCCTAGCTTGCGTACAAGGTTTTGAAGGCTGACCAACCAGGTGAGCATCATGCCACACGGTGAAGGAACAAATAGGACGCTTGAGGTTTTGATTGACTAGACACTGGGTGAGAAAACTGAAGTGCTGGAAAGAGAGGCAAAATTGCTGAGGAAAGAGTAGAGGAAGCCGCGCAGTGAAAGGCAGAGGAAATGATTAGACAAAAGATCAGATGAAATACTGTCACAATCCACAAACTCCGATACTTGCGGCTTGAAGGATTCAGGATATCTTCCTTTCTGAAAAATTTCTCGAACGAGTGGAGTAATTGTTCACTCAAGAGATGAAGATGAATACTACGGAATCACTCTCGCTCGACTTCATTTCTATCGAATTTTATGATCATTTTTGTACACCAAGTTTGGTTTAATTCAGTGCCGAGTGATCATTACGAAGTATTATGCTTCAATATGCTTAATCATATTGAAATTTAACTAAAACTAAAAAGAAACGGTCATTAGGTAAAAGTAGATCGGTAGAGAAATGAAACATAAACATCTAAAGTCCGAAAACATGATCATCAAACATAGATAACTAATTAACAATGTTGAATGAATACTTTGAACGAGTCACAAGAATAAAATAAAGTGGAACAAGACTAGAGTGCTGAGGAGCACGCTCCTAAAGCCAAAAGTGTGATGACGAGAGGCATAACAAGCGACCAAGGAGTAATCGAAATGGCAATTCCTAAGCTTGGCGAGGGTGCAGGTGCAGGAGAGTCGTCAGGCAAATATTGTTCAGGTGGGGCGGCAAAGGGTGGAGGAGACTGCACGATTGGGGGAAGATCAATCACCTCGACAAAAAGTCTCTACCCGTTCTTGCAATGATCAGGAGCTCCGCTGATGAAATAGAAGGGGCCAGGCCTATCGAGCTTCATGATGCTCTTGCCGTTATCAAAGTCGATGATGGGATTGCTTGTGTTGCAGTGGTAATAATCCCATTTGTCAACCTCAAGAACTGAATCATTCTTGTATGTGAAAGCTGTAAAACAAGTCGAGAAAATAAATGAAACTAAAACAATAACAAACAAATATGTTATGTGTGTGAAGATGTCTTCTAAACACCAAACTTCACACATGGGACATATAGCTCAAGTGATTAAGAGCGTTTACTCATCATGCACTCGAGGTCCTGTGTTCGAATTCCCCTCCCCCAATATTGCTAGCTTCAAAAAAGGAAAAACACCAAACACCACCTCTCTCTCTCTCTCTCTCTCTCTCTCTCTCTCTCTCTCCTTAGTAAGGTACTTTAGTTTGTAATCTTGAATTTGGTGCAAAAACAAGTACATATTTTGTAGCATGCGTGGAAAAACTAGACATGTTTTGTTAAACCAATTTAAACCTAAAGAAAAATCATATTTCATCAAAGTTTCTTCAAGTGCAAGAAACTAAAACGTTAGTGACTCACAAAGAGAATCTCCGACATGAAATCTCTTCCCGGCAGCCCACTGAGAGTACACATCCGTGTCGTTCAAGCCGGGTTGCCTCCATCCCAAATCATCACCCACTCGGAACTCCTTTGCAGCTTCAACTGGACAATTTGTGACGGCCAAGAAGACCGTCAGCGAAGCATGGAAGAGAAACAAGAAAGAAGACATGTTTGGGATGCTTTACAGTTAGTTCTCACAGAGAAGAAGGTTAAGAAACGAAAACAATGCAATTGAAAAGTAAGCTGCAAGGAAGGCGATATTAAGGTATATATAAGACATGTGGTTTTGCTGGGCAGGCGGGAGAGTGGGCAGAGCGGGAGGTTTGCGAATAATCATGGGTAACTTTCATGGGACACGCGGCGGACATTGGATCATTTGATGAGAACGTGTAGAGGTAGCTAGTGACAGTTAAATCCAGTTACCGGGCAAACTGGGATGATAGGGTTCAGAAGCATAGCCCCATTTTCTGGAGAAGTTATTTCGTGCGGCTACCCCGGCCAAGAGGGATGGGGCCGACACAAGAGGCAGGATCCATGCTTGTGGGTCCCGCCTGGTGCGACCCCTGCCGTATAAAACGGCCTCTCAGAAGATTGTCTCTATGGACGGGATCCATGCTTGTGAAGTTAAAATTTAATCAGAACATTTATGCATTAGTTTTACCAGAACTCGCACTCGGTAGCTTCTACTGAAGTACATATCTATTAACAAAAATTTGGTCTCCTTGAACTGCTAAGAACCATTTTGTTCCAGTGGCCAAGTAAAATTAATGAACTGAAACATATGGAAAATTTCGAAAATCGAACAAATGAATATTGATGGGGGCTTCTCCCTCAGATTGATGTTGCTCTGCATGACCTCCCCCGTATAAATGTTTCCGATCAACCAATATGATTTGCCCAAGCTGCCAGGCATGTCAAACGTCACAGGTTGGGAAAGATACTCACGAAATCACTCGCTGCTTAATTTACCAATCCCGACTTGTGTGTTGCTTCCAAATCAATGATAATTATCTACCATATGATTCTCTTCACATTTTTGCTCATAAGTTGCTACCTAAAGCTGCTTCCTTTTGGTTCATCATCATTTCTTGGAACTGCTTCCGTTTGGCAGCTCGGATGTCGAGTATACTAGGCGGCATAGGTTTGAGGGTACCATGTAACTCAACTAAGCTAAAGAATTCTTGCTTGGTTAAACTCTTCTTCTGGACAAGTTCATCAACCACTGCATCCATGAGCGTTCGGTTTTTCTGCAAAATCTGCTAAGCAAAACATAGCTATGTAACTTTTTTGAGATAAGTAAACATAATAGAAAACCTCAGTGCAAAAGTGATTCTTTTACGTCACCTCTTTTGCACGTTCATAACACATGTTGACAATTTGCAATGCCTCCACATCGAGGTCCTGAAAATCAAATTGTTACACGTTAAGCTGACATTGGTATTTACAGAGCAAAAACCAAACTCAAAACACTTATTTTCTTTTGAAATCAAACTCAAAACCCTTGAGAAGCGTGTAAAGAGATATAATTACATTGAGTCGATCTGCAACCCAGAAATTAGATAACCCGTGATGCTTCTCCGAAAGGCCACCAAGAACATATGTTCGTGCTGCTGACCTAGCATTGTCTGCTGTTTCAGCCCATATCGTACTTAACTGTGAAAAAGTAGAGAGAATTTTGGATGCATCACCGTTATACTAATGAGTTCAAAATGAAAAGTCACCTTATTTAAAATATTTAGATCCACACACAATGTCTTAACCATTTTCCAGGATAAGTCGAGATGATCCTTACGTTACCTTGTAGCATAAAAGTTGATTTTAACAGTACAAGACAACAGTAAAAATGCGAGAGATTCCTCAAACCCATAAATTGAGCAAACCACAAAGGCACAATCAATATACGAGACATACAAAATGAACACTTTCTAGGAGTTAGTGTTAGAAGAAGTCAACAGTTGGTTACCACTAACGTTTCTTGAGGAGTTGTGCTGTGCTTAGGAGTCTTATCTCCTTGTTTGCAGGATTTCCTTTTGACTTATTCTTGTAACTAAACTGTGTGTAATCTTTGTAGATTACAGTTTGTATCTTTTGAATTTTTGAATGTCCGTGTAAGTAGGGTTAATTCAAACCCTGATTGAAACCTGTAAGTGGTTATAAATACAGGCATCCCTCGTTTGAATGGGTATGCAATTAAAGTGAAAGTTTGAGTTCTTAAGTTTTACAGTTAGATGGAGTAATTATAAGGTGGAGATATCGTACTATTTTGTGGGATTAGAAGGTGTTAATTTTCTTCATGACTACTCAATCTTCTAGCTTCAACTTGGACCAAATTTGGAAGTTGGCCTCCATTTCTTTCTTTAAGATTTCTTGAATTTGGTGAGTTATCCTATCTGATCCAATCCTAGGCACCAACGATGACCTAAATGTGCATATAAAGGGATAATAAACCTCTTACCTGATCCTCACCAAACCAAAGTTCATCAGCTGCACGTGGTGCCAGTTGAACAGTGATATGATCGAGGAGCGATTGCCGACTTCATGACATGCGAGATACAAGAAATAATTATTAGAAAGAAACAACAAAACATGAATATATGATGCAATATCAACAAGAAACAGCACAATTAACATATCGTAAATACTAAAGGCAACATTTATTCCCAAGTTCACATGTCTTATCTTATTGTATAGTTTATAGGATTTCAATTCCTATTTCTGACATGCTGGATGGTACCCACAATATTTATACACTGTATATGGGGTAGGAAGGGGAGAGCACATTCACAGAAGGAGAATACTTAAGTTTTGGACTCTCTACTTATAAACTACATCGTTTAAAAGAATAATTTTTCTTAAAACACCCTCCAATTCGTACTCCTAATTTTTTTTATAAGAAAAGAATATCATAATCCCTCCCATGTTATTTAGATTCCTACAATTCTGATAATCTCTTTGTTTTAATCTTAATGTTAGTTAATAGCAACATATATCTTTAATTACCCATCGAAAAAAAATCAGCTTATAATGTCTTCATTAATATATGAATGTAATTTTTAATTAATATTTTCTATTACCAAAATTTATTACTTTAATATCAAATCATTGACCTAGATTGATTACAATAATTACTTTGATGAGCAAGTCTCAATAGTTAACACTTCTTATCACTAGTAGCATGATATTAATCTGAAGTCCCTTTTTCTCAGTTCTCTGTATATCTAATTATATACTCTAATTTATTGTATTCAGTGACTTATTATACACTATAGTTGACAATGGCATGCTATGCACGTGCCGGCATGCTATGCACGTGCCAGCATGCTAGTCTCTTTGAAAATTAATGAAAACCAAACAAATAGGGATACGAAGGAAGTCATACGTAAGCATTCCTTCTCTGAACTTGATAGGATCCATTTTCATTCTAACATAACCCAATTCTCGACCAGCTCTAGGAGCAATTGTGACCTGCACCACATCATTAAACTGTTAGGAAAATTTTACTCATTTACATTAACAAGTACATTTGGAAGAGCATGAATCAAATCAAGGAATATTATTTGAAAAATTCATAAATCAAAAAGGACATTAGTTGATTTTAAGTCAATGAACCCAACGACAAAAACAAAAGAATTAAGAAGCCATACAAACTCAATATTTCTAAGATCAGGAAAGTTCACAGCAACAACAGCCATTGCAGCCTCATTAATAGCTACTTGCTTCCATGTATCTAAACTTCTCTCCTTCCTATCTAGCATTCCTCTTTCTTCCATTTGTGCAGCTTGTAAAAGGTCGTCAGTAGTAATCTGCACATACAACGAGAGCAGGGGTTTAAGAGGGCAGGTCAAAATGTATGGCATAAATAACTAAGTCGGAAGTTCAATCTTCAAGATATACACACATACGTACGTACGTACGTATGTATGTATGTATATGTACATGTGTGTGTGTGTGTGTGTGTGTATATATATATATCTCTTTCTGTGTCTGTGTGTGTGTGTGACAAAGATGTGCATAAAGTTGATATAGTTATAATGGAATTTTAAAGCTGAACGAACAGACAATCAATTAAATTCGTAAAAAGTGCCCGAGCCTGAACCTCTATCACATGTTTTAATGGAATATAGACAGAAGAGTGCACATGCTTAATAACTTTCACATCCAAATATTTGCCCCCATCAAATCTTACCAACACATTGATGGATAATGTAGTCTTCAATAGCCTGTTTTATTCACTCCTTTTTCCATTTTCATTTTTAGTGCAAGGTGTAATGCCAAGTATCAGTCAGAAAAACAAAATAACAAGGTTTAATCTATAAGAGTAAGTAATACTAATACCTCAGTCCTTCCATCACGCATCATGTTGATTGCAGCAACCTCAATTATGTTAGCTAGCTCTGCACCAACCATTCCATCAGTCATACTAGCAATAGCCATATAGTCGACGTCTTCAGCCATAGGCTTCTTGCGTGCATGGACCTATAATCAAGACATGGAAACAATTAGAATCATAAGGGTAACTGAATAAGGACAGTCTTGCAATGCTATATATCCAGTGGAAGTGGTGCAGGATATAGGTCTGGACTGCTACCTTCAAAATTTCAATGCGACCTATAAGACCAGGCTTAGGGATAAATATCTTCCGGTCAAACCGTCCAGGTCTGACAAGGGCTGGATCTAGAATATCTGGTCTATTTGTGGAAGCAATAGTGATCACTTCCCCTCTTCCTTCAAACCCATCCAAGCAAACAAGGAGCTGGAGAATATTCACAAGAATGAACAATTGACATAAGTAGGAGTTTAATTGAACATATCAGTATTAAAAGTTCTCATTACAACACTTATATATTCCCTAACTAACCTGATTAAGAGTAGCATCACGTTCCTGTCCACCAGAACCCTTGATCAAACCACGCTCTCTTCCAACGGCATCCAACTCATCAATGAAGACAACTGATGGAGCCTATGCAGATAAACACAAAAATCATGAGATGTAACATTTGTGCACCGTCGCCTCATCCTCTAAATAAAAGGATAAATCAGAAAGGCATATAACTTTCACAACCTATATCTGTCATCTCCTTATTAAACAGAGAAATGCCACCATTTAACACCTACGGATACATTAATATTATCAAAAATTAGTACCTAGGCTAGCCTATCATATAAGGAATTAACAGGACAGGGTGTGGAAGTGTGGGATGAGGGGGTTGGGGAATGTAAGGAGGGAAAATTTGAACAGCTAATGTCAACACTTACATTTTCCCTTGCCTCCTGATAAAGTGCTCGGACACGAGAAGCACCAACACCAACATATATCTCCACAAACTGAGAGGCCGAAATGGAAAAGAAGTTCACGCCTGCTTCACCAGCAACAGCTTTTGCAAGCAATGTCTTACCCACTCCAGGAGGGCCACAAAGCAGTATCCCACCTGATTAAGAAATTAATGACCCCAACAAAATGGTCGGGGAATAAGAACAATCAATTCGGAGTGCTTTCACTGGAATCAGAGCATATATTCCAACTAGGGCAAGTAAATAATCATTCAACAAAAGCCAGTCAAATATGTCATGAATTCAGCATACACATAATGTCATATACGATAAAGCTATCTAACAATGTCAACAGAACAGTAGCATAGGTACAACATCTAACCTGGTATTTTAACTCCTCTTCTCCTATACATTTCACCATGAGTGAAGAACTTGACAATCTCCTCAAGCTCAAGCCTAATCTTCCCGAGCCCTGCCACATCCGTAAACTTGACATCCACGCCTCTCTCCAAATACTGAGGCAGCCTCTTATTATGAGCTCGTCGAACACGAGCACCAGACTTCATGAACTGCATTGCCATTTTCAAATAAGGATTCTGCTCACCCTTCCCTGGCTCAATCTCATCCTCCTCATCACCCTCAATCCCCTCCATCTCCCTCTCCAACTCCCTCATTTTCTTCCTCTCCTCTGCCTCCGCCTTTTCGATCTTCAGCCTATCCTCGTAGTCCTTCTTCTGCCTCCTATAACTAAGCACCACAGTCCTATAAAATATGTAGAAGAACACCAACCCAAGAGCAGTAGCCACATTGGTGTCCTGAGCCAAATTGGCCCATACATTGGCCATCTCCTGATAATTCCTCCGTGCCTCGCGCAATGAATCGTCGTGCTTCTTCTTCCTCATTTCTCTCCTCACTCTCCTCTCCTCCTCTTTCTTCTGAGCCTTCATTGCCTTGTCAATCATCTCTCTCTCCTTCCTCATCCTATCCAATTCCTCCTTCCTCTGCATCTTGAACTCTTCCCTCGCCCTTCTCAACTCCATAGCTCTCTTGCTCTCCTTCTTCGGCTTCCCGGAGAACGACGACAGAAACCCGGGCCATTTCGCCACAAAGCCCAAGTACGGCGATGGCACCTCCGGCCGTTTAAGCGGCGGAGTGTAAGCATTAACACAGAAAGACTCAATTTTCAACTCCTTCCATTGCTCCCAGAACCTCCTGTCGCTATCCACCGATGGCAAAACGGTGCGTAGAACCCGAGAATCTTCGAGAACAACCAGAACAGGCTCTGCCCTTTTCTGCAATTCAATTCCCGGTGGCTTGATTACATGCTTCAGCTTACCTTCCTGACTGAGCGCCAACAGCTGGGTGTACGGAATTCGATTGGAGACGATGGGGAGTCCCTGGGACCATGACTCGAGTTCTTGGGGAGATAAAGCTTCGGACTTTTTGGGGGTAGACTTCTTGGGCGTACGCTTTTTCTCCTTGACGGCGGCGACGGCGGTGGGGATTTGGGGGAGGGAGGTGGAGATTACGGTGAGAGTTACAGAGAGCTTGAGGAAATCGAAATTAGGTTTGTGGGTTTTATCGTTTTCATCATCATCGTCGGCGGGTGCGAGGTGGGAGGAGGAGGAGGAGGAGACGGCGGAGGGAGGGAGGGGTTTTAGCGGGTTTTTGGTGAGGGGTATTGGTTTGGGGTATGGGGATAGGGAAGAAGATGAGCCCAGAAGGCAATGGCAGTCCATGGAGCTTCTCTCTCTTTATCTCCCGTTTCTACATTTGATTAAGCGAAGGTTTTGTGGACGAAAAGGTGTGACTCCATTTTTCAGCTTCTTCTCTTTCGGGTTTCTGTGCTCTGTGAAATCTATCCGGAACGAACCATTGTAACAGTCGACGGGAGTGGAGCTCTTAAACGACAGCGTTGGATGAGCATTATCATCTTAAATGGTGGTGGACCGGTGGTGCTTTTTCTGGGTCCAACCGTCCAAAGAAAACGGAATGACGGTTCGAGATCCGAGCCAAAAATTGCAGAGTCCAAGTCCAATCTCAGGAGCCAGGCCTAAAATGTGTTTCAACAATACTTCAGTGCCCACTGCTTATTTTTACGAGATGAAGCCCATGCACTTTTTTTTTTTTTTTTTTTTGTGCTCGAATAACGTAGAAATTCCTTGTACAACCGTTTTCAATACAATCAAACATAAAAGCATTATAACTCTTATTCGGATAGGTATAATGGTACTGTTCTTAGTTCTTTGCTGAGAAACATCTCTATTACTAAATAAAATAGTATAGATTACGAACCAAAACATCTATGTAATACATTATTCATAATCATATTTGCAAAAAATTAGACAAATACAAAATTATTAATACATCCAATTGTAATAGATGAATATGGTCTCTTAAAGAAACACTAATATGACTATCTTTTAATCCAACTGTGAAAAGGTTTTCATATTTGAGTGATTTTTTTGCAAGGACGAACTTTGAGAAAATGCCTAAAAGATGCACAGTTGGATTATTGAAATACGATGCGGAGTGGGCGCTACAAAGAATCCCTCAAATAAGCTTATTTGAGGGATCCCTCAACATAAGTGGATTGTATATATATATAGCATCTGATATTCTATATTAATCTATACTAAGTAGAGTTAGAGGGTTTGAACCACCCGGAATGCAAAGGATCGAAGAGGAAGGTCATAACCATTAGGGCAATCCACCACTTGAAATCTTGCAAATGCACACTGCAGTCGTAATGTCTATGTAATTGTTATCAACTAATTTTTCTCATTTTACTCCTTATTAATTGGACATCGGTGGCTTCTACAGATTTACATGCTCAAAAGCCTTAATCCTTAGAGAAATCTATTGTACAACACTCATCAAGTAACTCAATTATGTGAAAAATGAGTGTAAATATGTAATAAATGAGACACAGTTCAACATGCGGTGATACCTGAGTAACTCCAAATCTATGTGCGTTTAACATGAGTGTAACGATGTAATAAATAAGTGTATATACGCACATTCTCTCCAATCCTTGCCCATGCATGTACCAGTCACATTATAGCAGAAGCATTCTGACAAAGCTTGGTCATCAAGCGCCATACATCCAGCATTTTCCATCAACATATGTACGGAAGAGTTCTTTAGAACTTTACAAAAGGAACATCAACCCTTAAAACAGAGTCTGAGACTAATTAGTTAATTAAGCTAATATAATTATGATAATTTAAAGTGCAAGTGCAACATCAAGCGGAAAATCATGGATGAAACCAATCGACGTCGTCGTTGTCATCTTCGTCAGTTCTTGGAGAGCCAAATTACATTCTGGACAGCAGATATGGCCAGCAGGAGGCAACTGAAGAAAGTGAAGGCTATTGAGATTGCAACATGGTCACAGAAAATATGCAAGGGTTTACAAAAATCCGGAAGAGCTGTGTGCCGGATTCCGGTGCGGTTCAGGTTGCTTACTCCTGATGCAGCTGACCCTGCGCTTATCATAGCATAGGCAAATACCTGCACATGGAAACAATAAGGTCAGATTGGATGCAAACTTTTACAAGGCACATAAATTTAATTTCGTTCTATACACCTATATATGTATGTATGTATGTATATTTGCATAAAGGCACATGAAACTGAGATCATGGATGAAACGTTAGTAAAGCGAAAGGATGAAACATCAGAACTTATAGCTCTAGCGGTTCAAAACATTCACTTTTATATACACTCAAGATCCTAAATTCAAATTTTCATATCTCCAGTATCGTTTGATAAGAAGGACAAAAACAAATACAAAAAACCGGCTCACGAATAGGCCATGCGTCATTTCTAATTACATTTTTTGTTAAGATGGTTTACTGTAAATCTATGTGGGAGTTAATTAGATGGCATTTGCAAGGAAGGTGATGAAGATTGATTAATTACCTGATCACCAGCAAAAGTAAGCCATGCATGGTTCCTTGAGGGAATGAGTGGAGACTTCCTGAGCAGCCTAGACACACTTATTAGTAGTTGCATCAATGAGTGAGCTGCCACAGCTGCTGAAACTCCCACCAGATACCTGCTCCATCCATCACCACAAATGATCAAAGAAGAGTTCATTAATACCTGCTCAAAACCATTATACAACTAATATCAAATGACAGAAATCGAAAACAGGACCTCAGGTTTTGAATTAAATGCCTTTTATGCTAAAAACACTTTTACAAAGACAATTTACCAAATATATAGCTGATTATTTTTATAACACAACGTAAACAAATTTTTTTTTAAAAACACATCACACCAAACTAGCCATTAGCTTAAACAGTGAAAACTTCATGGTTTAAGCTCACGCATATTTAAGGATTAATACTACTAAGTGCATGTTCAAAAGATATATCAAATTTTAAATTTGAAAACTTATGGGGCATCTTGAATTTTTTTTAAATTTTGTTCTCCATTTGATATGTTAAATTAAATTATAATTTACTTTTCATAATTGTAAGAAATATTTTTAGAACGAAAAACAATAATAAAAATGATAAAAGAAAACATTTATTAATTAATTAAAAAGAGATTTGAAGTTGCTGTCAAATTTGACTGCAATCATCTTTGCTACCAATTCATGTCATGATGCCACATAAGCATTGATATTTCGGTTAAAAAATACTCATTTTGTCTTTTATGACTTTTATTGTTGGTGTGGAATTTTTTTATTTCTTTGAAGATGCTCTAATATATCACAAAAACGCCCACAAAATCTCATGAGTAGTAAACTAACGTGATTAGTTTAATATATAGTTTTCAAATAATGGAATTAAAGTGATCTAATCTTTTCGATAAGGAATAAAAAAAAACATTAATATGATAGCACGAGCAAGACAACCTTTTTCACGTATCACAATAGAAAATTATACATAAAAAATTAACAAAATACACAAAAGGAATCAGTCACGGGTCTGATTCTGTTCATCGATATGGGATGAAGCTGGATTGGTGAGGTGGGGAGCTTAAAAAAGGTTCTAAATGCAACAGAAACCTCGACATGCTCGAAAGCTCCGGTTGGTCCGTGATAGAATAAACCATATTTAGAAAAACAAATGTTGAAAATAAAATTATAGTTCCGCAATAATTAATATAAAATTATTGGCATTTTAAAAATTGAGCGACGGTTTGATAAAAAAAATTGAAGTAAACAAAACGAAATAATTATATTTTTTGTTTAAGGTGATTAATTTGAGAGGGAGGAAGCGGAATGGAGCAGAGACGCTTACTCGAAGGCGTTGGCAAAGGACCACTTTGAGTTGACGGGGAGCGGAAATCCGTAGACGTACACAGTGGTCGCCTCCCTGGCTGTCACCATGAACGACAGCGCCGTCACCGAGGCCGCCATGCACAACGCCCTCAGGCACAAGTGCGTCACTTCAGCTCTCCGAGATAGAACACTTGCGGCGCCACCACTTCTCACCGTTCCATTGATCTCCTCCTCCACCACCTTTCCCACCCCCGCCGCCTCTTCGTCGAACGACGTCATCTTTCCGCTGCTCACCATTTTGCTAGAGAGAATGTTACAAAGTACGTGTGCGAACGTCGTAGTTTAGTGGGTAAAAAAAAAAACAAAAGAGTGACCAAGTTGAGTTGGTTTTAGGGGGTTTTTATAGATAGAGACGGGGTTTCTGTTCCGTCAGGGTACTTACTACTGCATCCCAAGCCAAAAAATTAATAGAAAGTAGTAAATGATGTCGTATGTTTACAACGGTGCGTGTTTTATGCAAGAATTAACTATTGGAAATCTCTATATGCAAGATTTAACCATCGATTTTAAATATCACTTAATGATATGTACCATAAAAGAAAATTCGCAAAATTTGTTCACATTTTATGTAATTTTGCTTAAGAAGTGGCTTCCACATATCATTTTTGGCTTCTTATACACTGTCTTTAATTATGACTGTTGATTCTGTTTGATTAATTTAATTTAGTAGATATAAATAAAAAGAAGTGTACGAGAAAGTTAAAAATAGTACGCAAAAATCACTCTTCATTGTGTTTTTATTTTTGCAGCATTTTAAATGGTGGAGCTTTGGCTTTTGCGGAATGGTGAGCTTAAACTGCATGAGAGAGGAACGGGTGGAAATAATATAGAGCATCAGAGCAGACCGTCAGAGCCCCCGTGAGTGTACAGTATTAATTATTGCAATGCCTTGACTTGTTTTACTCCTTCAGACTGTTTTGACACTTCACTGCTGCCTATGATATTGAAAGGACTTGTAATTTCCATGGCTGGACTCTGGAACCCCATTCGGTTTCTTACTTCTAAAACGTTGAACAAAATTGTTTTTTTCTGACAAAATTTTATGGTCAGACTCAGAGACCAAGGTTTCGTTCATGTGGTTTAGTATCATAGTGGATAGGCTGTCGAACTTTCATTCATATATTTTAGGTTCGAAATTTCATTTTCTAAAATTATTATAATAGTTTCGAACTTTTTTACTCTTTAATAATAAATTAAAAAGAAAACTCAGAGAATAATATAACTACATAACAACTTTGATGTACCTCACTCGTATAATATGTACTAATCATTGGTAATTGAAACGATAGAGTTGAATTATCCTGATGGATATAATTTTTTCTTCAACTTACTATATTTTTGTTTCAAATCAATTCTTTTCCTCTTTATTGTAGTTTAGATTTTAGAATAGTAATATTATTTGCCCAAAAAAAAAAAAAAACTCATTTCTTAGAGTATAACCGAAACTTTTATTTTCAAAATCATCGATCATTCTTGTAAATGACTGACCAAGCTAGAAATTATGATATGACTATATGATTGATAGTGTAATCATTTAGCATTTCATAAGGTTTAACTTTTACTTGGTTGATTTTGTAAGGAGATATCATTTAAGAGGGAGAACTTAAAAGAAACTACATTGCAATTTGCAATGTATAAAACATGTTTAGAAAAAGACATTAAATATAAAACTAATTTATGTTGACATCCTATGTGCCGCCATAGCAAATTCAGCACGAGTACATTATCACGGTGGCAGCTTATGTCAATAAGACAACAATATATGTTATTTTCTCTCTAAATGTTTTTATTATCATTGTCACTTAACGTTATCTTAACAGTGTACTCTTGTCATACATCATACATGCGATAGACATGTATGGATCCACAACTGACAAGTGACAAGTACTCAAGTAACATTAAAGCCTATATATGTCACTCATTTAAGGACAAAGAATTTCTTCAGATGTCACATGATGTCGTATTTCAAGGGAATGAAACTATTGTGACGAGGATTGCTGGGTTTCAGTAGAAAAAAATTGATGGTTTTGAGTTTGATAGATGCACATTTATTAGTATTGTGAGAAACCAACTGTTTTGATAGTTTAGATTGCATAGTGAAACCATGGAACAACCGTAGTTCGATCCTTAAGACCGACCGTAGTTCGGCAGCTTAAGACCGACCATGGCTCAGGAAGCTTAAGGATCGATAATGTTCGATTTACTGGTTGAGATAGCCATACCAGTAGAGAAAATCCACACTGAAGACAGACATGCTTTTAACATTCATTCCATTTTATACCAATCAGGACGCAACCATGGTTGCAAATATGCATGTAATAAGCTAAACCACTTATTGATACATCAACCTCAAATCCCAAATGTATATTTCCCTCAAAACGTTGGAGTGAAAAAAAGGAAGTTCCAACTACAACGATTTAACGATATGACACCTCTTTCAAGTTTTAACCGAAAACTTTACCAACAATTACATTTTCTTACCACATAATTCTAGAGTACGTGTTGGCTGGCCGGAGATGTTAAACACCAAACATTAAATCCATGACTTTGGAGACCAATGACTTTGTTGGGGAAGCAATTGCACCTCCAGATTTCTGCGCACTGGTATTACTGTTTAGAAGATAGTAAGGACGAGAGGGGGCTCTTGAAGCATTCAGCTCTGCATGTTTCATTGACGGCTGAGGGGGAAATGTCATGAAACCCTGATTGGTGACCCTTTCATTTAATGCATGGCGTTGCATTGGATCCAGCGGCTTCACACCTATAATTAGTGCCCCATTAATTTGCGTCCCATTCTTGCTGAGAGCCTTCTGAGCATCAGAGTTACTCTGCACCACCAGAAATGTGAAAAGTCAACAAATTTCAATAGCAGTTGCATTCATCTACGATACTTAGCCAAACTGAGGCAAACGGAGAGCAAAAATAGGGAATAACGGTAAGTCTTTGGCAACCAAAGCACACATCGACAAACATGCTCTACATCAACTTTCCATTACAAATGCATAAGCCAACAGCAGTAGCAAATAATTATTATGTGCATAAGTATTTCTGAATAATCCTAATTAATACTATGCCTTTGTGAGGCTATGTCTGCAACCAAGGCCAAACAAGCAATCTTACATTTGATGTCCATGGCAGCATCCAGCCAAGAATAAAAATCCATATATTTTACAAGTAAAACGTCTTTTATAACACAACAAAAATTCATAGAAACACTACTCAGCTATTTCCAGCTGCATGAATTTTTTTTTTTCTTATATCAAAGTCTTGGTTACTTGTACTCCCAATTTCAAGTGCTTGTCTTATGATGAGCCTGACAGACGAACTGTCCAATTGGCGAAGTCATGGAAACACTAGCAGTTCAGAAAGGGAACGGAATGACAAGAAATAAATTCTTGGTATAAGAAATTCGTGTCACCAAACTTAAATTAATGTAGGAAAAAGAACCTGGTATAAAATGTGCATCCAGTTGGCATCTCTTGGACCGGGAACATGTTTCAAAATCACACCACATTTTTCAAACTCTCGTAAGACTAAATTTGTATCAGCTGGAGAAAATCTGAAAGAACAAAAAGAGAACACTATCAGAAGCCTATAATCAGAATAGCGAGTAAAAACTACATTGCCAAATTAGAAACATAACTTCAGAGGTTGAAGGCTTGAAGACTAAGTAAGACTATATAAGCTTCAATCAATAGAACGTCTGTCCTAAAAGGTTGGAAAGAGCCATGTGATCTTAAAACAAGACAATAAAGAGTTCCCAGCATATTTCTGTAGAGTGCACAACAAAACAATTCCATAGTCCTTCAAACTGTGAACAAGAAGCTCAGTGTAGCAATTCTAATAGTTTAGTTCTTTGATATCTTTTGAACAGTCACAGATAAAAAATATCAAACACCATCACATCCCATAATTTGGATTGTTTTATACCATTACCTTATTAACCTTTTTCCTAGTCTCCTTGTGGGATTTTAGTTCTGCAAATAATAGAGCACGCTACTTATTAAGATTTGTCTTACTTCTAACAGTTGATTACTGAACAAGATCCTCACTTTTTAATGTGCATAGTCAATAAATTCTAAGTGATTAAGTAGCGAAGAGGAGCATAGACTTGGGAGCGGGTATGTGGCTTGGGAACAATTAAGAGCAAATTGACACACAACTTGCTCACCCGTAAGCAGCTAAAAGGACATTTGTCAATGCAGAATACTTCATCATGACAAATATCTGAAATTTCTCATAGTAATTGAAATTTCTCATAGTAATTCAAAATTTTAATAACATTTGGCCAGGAGTACTTCCAAATGACCACTGACCACTTCAAGTTTAAAATGTTTTGCACTAGGGCACATGTTTCATGCATATCTGAAACCTCCAACAGCTGAGAAATAAAGAGATGTTTATTGAAAGAAAACTCTTTTCTTGGCACAACAGCCACATGGATTAAGCCATGAGCTTTGGCCCCTTCCTATTTTCCTTTTCAAGTCATAATGGCAACACCTAAAGTTAATAATATGATGATACAGAACCAAATGGCATAAACAGGAGTAACAAGCACACAGGTAATGAATAAACCTACAGTGCACATACATTAGCAATTATGCAATATTGAAACCATCACGCATGGCATTTTTGTAAGAATTCCTCAATAACTTTTCTGCATCACTTTTAGGCAAAATTAGGCATCTTATTTAGTAATATGCAAGTCAACACACAATAGCAGCTAATTAGATATTGTGGCTAATCTAATTTTCACATGCAGACTATTCCCAAGAACAGATGCAAAGGTAAGGTTAAAGAATTACCCATAAACAGTAACCCATTCTTCTTCGTTGAGGTTTGCTGTAGGCAATGTATTCCTTTGCATCTCTGGCCTTGCAACTTCCCTTGGAGGTGGAAGAGTGATCAGAGCAAGAGGCTGAACAACACCCTCAACTGGTGAACTCTTTCCCTTCTCTTCTTGCTCACCACCACTCTTTGAGGGTGACCACCAACTCATACTTGCTGAACCTTGTTGGACATGGTGTCCGTTTGATAGAGCATATGAAGTGCTTGCCTCTGATTTTCCCTTCACCGGAGTCGAGGAATCACGCCCAAAACTGTGAACCGGGGTTCTAGGATCCGACTTGATTTCGGGGGATACTGGGTAATCTGGAATTCCAGATTCAGGGGAGAAGTCCGAGCGGTCTTCCAACGTGTAAAGCGGAGGTGGTGGAAGGTCCGATCCCCCACCGCTCTCGCGCCATAGTGCAGAGACTGCAGCTGCCTGGCCTGGAGTTGAAAATTTTCCTTTCCGGGACGATACGGGTGAAGCTAAATCTTGGAAAAACAATGACTGCCTACCAGATTTGGGAGTTCTATGGACTGTGGTGCTCATCCTATGATATCTTTACAAACCAATTCCTCTGAAAAATGGACAAGAAATTCCCAATTATTATTTGTTTTCCTTTTGTGCAATTGTCAGCACGCAAAGGACAACATAAGACAAATATCAAAGACCAAAATTTTAATAGAAAATGAAAAAGGGGGAAATGTTTTATTTACTTAATTGAAACCAACCTAGCTCTAAATTCCTCAAAATCGGTCGTAAATTTCGAAAAACTGGATTAGGGTTTCTACCTTTGGTTGCCGCGAAGCCAGGGAAATTAATTTAATCACCCAATATAAAATGAAATCGACGAAGCTAACGGCACGAAAGAATTTGCAGTAATCTAAGTCAAGAGCTGAGAGAGTACCTGAGAATTGGGGGAAAGAGGCGCCTGAGATCTCCGATTAGGGATTTTGAAGTAGGAGGGATTTTTATTGAATTTCTTTCCCAAATACTGAAGAGCGAGAGTGTTCGAGAATGCAGAGCTGCTCGTCGAATAGAAAGCCAATCCTGAAACCCTAAACCCTCGTCGTCCCGAAATTCGGACTTGTGCTCTTTTGACAACAGTTGCACTTTTCCCAAATGACGATTCTATCCTCGTCCCGCTCTGCAAATTTCAGCTCTCATTTGATTTTCGAAGATTTCCGTTAAAGCAAGTCCACCGTTGGTGGTGCGCAAAGACAATAAAATTGCTTTTATTTTTCATTCTAAATAGTAATTGTATTTGTGAAAGTTTATCAGTTTGGAAGGAGGATGATTATTATTCACAAATATATTTTTTTTAATATTTTCTTCGTCTTATCCTCGCATATCATTATCGTTGTAAATTTTTGGATAATTTTAAACGTTTAATTTGCAAATGTGTTGAACTATGTAAGATTTTAAAGTGTGAACTTTGTATTTTTTTAGTTTTTTAAATAATTTTTTTTAGAGTTTTTATTTTTTTATTTTATTTTTGTCAAAATTTTTTAGAGTTGGATTAATCCTAGCCGTTTAATTGAAAAAAATTTCAAATCCAAGGCCCACAAAGAATCACTGGCTTCGGGTTCCGTAGGAACTCCGAAGTTAAGCGAGAAGGGGCAGTGAGCTCCCAAAAGGCCTCGTGCTAGGTAGGGATGGGAATATACATTTAAGGATCACTCCCCTGGGCGATGTGGGATGTCACAATCCACCCCCCTTAGGGGCCCGACGTCCTCGTCGGCACATTTCCGGCCAGGGATTGGCTCTGATACCAATTTGTCACATCCCAGCCCGAGGTGGATCACTTCCCGGGCCCGCTCCACCACCGTAGCACGATATTGTCCGCTTTGGGCTTACCATTCCCTCACGGTTTTGTTTTTGGGAACTCACGAGCAACTTCCCAGTGGGTCACCCATCATGGGATTGCTCTAGCCCCCTTCTCGCTTAACTTCGAAGTTCCTACGGAACCCGAAGCCAGTGAGCTCCCAAAAGTCCTCGTGCTAGGTAGGGATGGGAATATACATTTAAGGATCACTCCCCTGGGCGATGTGGGATGTCACATATTCCCTACAGGCTCAAGAGATGCTGGCTGAGAAAAAGCCTAGGACTTCTTCCACTACTCGTGAAGGTTTGTCGGTTGCCCTCAAGCTCGTGATTGACTTAACTTCCTCCAAGGGCAAGAACGATGAGGCTGCTAGATCTGTGCCAGTGATGTCTGTCGTTCTGAAGGTGACTAGTTTGATTGCTAACAGGATTACTCAACGTAGAAGTTCCGACGTGCCCTCAGTGCTAAAATTTATGCCCAAATGTTTGTCGAGGGCTAAGTATGGTTCACCTTCGGAAATACTTGTTACCATGAAGAGTGATAAAGTGGATTTTGCTACCAAAATGGTGCCAAAACCTTCTCCCCCTGCTGTCGGGACTGATTCGCCTACTGAGAAGAAAGAGACTGCTTGTGCGGGCAATTGTGAGAAATCCCCCAAGTTTGTTCCTGGGGAAGCTGCTGAGATTTGTGCGCTCTTGAGACCAGATCTGCTCGAGGACATGGATATGTGCGCCAAGTTTGTTAATAACGTTAAAGAAGCCGTTGGCCCAAGTTCATTTGCGAAGCATACGACTGAGTATAGGAGAACTGCTCTGCTGGCTATGATGCAGAAAACGGTGATTCTAGTAGCCGAGTTTATGTTCCTTGATTAAAAGGATACGAAGGCTGCCAAGGAGGTAACAAAAATTGTGGCAGCCGAAACTTACTCTTCGGCCGAGAAAATTAAGAGTTGGAATCTGAACTTGTTGCTTTGAATGGGTCTAATATCTATGCCCCCACTTCTCTACAGCTTGAGACCGCTCGCTAAGAGATCGTGGATTTGAAGACTTGGCTTGACGCGATCCAAGTAAAGTATGAAAGTGCAGAAAAAGAGATTGGGTGTTACATACCTCAGATTCAAGATCTTGATCGTGCTATCTCTGAGTTCCATTTTGCTGCTCACACAAAGGACGAAGAACTGATCCCTGCTTACAACCAAGTGGTCCAGTTCCAGAAGGTCGTTGGTAGGCTTGAACCTCAAGTGTTCGAACTCAAAAGTGCTTTGAAGATCAACGACAGTTTGAAGAAGGAAGTGGAAGAGCTTCAGCGGGTCCGTGCTGGTCTGCTCGAGGAGAATTAGCAGTTGAAGGGTGAGAAGGCCAGGTTCGATACTTTGCTTACTTAGAGTCAAGCTGATTTCTATAAGCTGGGTTATGTAGACCATCTCTTTAGGATGTTATCTGACTTTGAGTTTGTTGGTAAAGACTTCGAGACATTCTCCATTTCTCCAGAAGACTTTCTTGCCTTTACTTTTAAGGCTTCCACTGGTGAAGTAGTCGGAAAGGCTGATGCCCAGGCTAAAGCAGCCGTGGGTGAAGCGTCGGATGGTGCCACTGCTGAGGATGCAAAAACTGCTGAAGGTGTGGTGATCAAGTAGTCATAGGATGTCCAAACTGCTAAAGAGTAGTCTTCTAAGTAGTCTTTAGGATTTCCTTTGCTTTCCTTGTTGCTTTTTTCTTTGCTTGAACTCATTCGGCCTTTCCCAGTTGTTTATCAATTTTGCTAGAAAATTTAATAAACTTGTTTCCTTTACTTTTCTCTATTTTCGCTTCTTTTGTTCATGCCCTAACCTTTAGACTTTATAGGCCAGTGGTAGGCATGCTACTTTTGTATAAGCATATAGGCCTGCGTAGCCTATGTATATATAGGTGTTGGCGTAGAACTTTGCAAAGTGTTAGCCATAGGGTCGGTAGCCGGACGTCTTACTTACAGAAGTAAACTAGTCCTCGCGATCACTAGGCTGTTAACCTTGGCTTTATCCAATTCCATAGGTTGTGTAGCAAGTATCACAACATTTTAGGACTTGGTGTAGGTCGTTTCGCGCTTTGGCAGAAATGAAGCCCATCGACTACCTTTAGTATGTCAGTAGTGAATGATGCTTCGTATATGCGCACTAAATTGTTTAATCTCTCATGAAAATGTGCAATTGTATAAGTTTAGCGCGACTTACTGCTTGAAGGGCAAGCCGTAGATAATCTTCTGGAAATCGTAGGTTACCATAGTGCACTTGGTAGCAGCTTTGGGATTCCAGGGCAGCCGTCCATAGAGCGTACTACGTAATGTGCCCTCTCCGTCTCTAGGGCCCGGTTCCCCTCATATTAGACCAAGAGACCCAAAATCCTTCAGTTAGCTAAGCCTTGAAAAAGACCATTGTGGCTACTTTTAGGAATCCCGACGTAAGCCATTAGGCATCTAGTTATACTAGGGCAGCCCGGCTCATCCACGTTTGGAGTTTACCCTCCTGATTTGGAGAGGAAACCCATGTGAGTGTCAGGGAATTGGTTTACCCTCTCGTATAGAGAGCATAGTTGGTCCATTGGGAGGGTGGAGGAGTGCAATTCCTGCGATGAGTCCTTAAGAAGGGCATGGTTTTCTTCTGAAGTGTAGGAGTGATTAGTTGTTATAGACATGTAGTCGAGCCAAGTTGTAAATTACTTCTCAATTCCTCATTGAAAAAACAAGTGAAACGAACAAAAACTTAGCTGTAAAGTAGAGATTGCATAACAACTGGATAATCCTCAGCTCGCGAGGTGGTGCCTATTGAGCTGCTTGAGTTATTTGGGCTTTGATGTAGTGGGAGGTCACACATGGTACTTCCTTAGATTGTAGGCGTTCCACTGTTTTTCGATTTCTTTGTCATTCATGGTGACGATGGTGTAATTACCCTTGCCACCTACTTTGCTGATCTTGTATGGACCTTCCCAGATGAGATCCATCTTTTTGAAGCCTTCTCTGAGGACAGTGATGAAGGCTTTTTTTAGGACTAGATCTTCAAGTTGGAACTGTCGGATCTTGGCCCTTTTGTTGTAGCTGGAAAGAAGTTACTACTAGTAGGCTGCAATGCCAGTGATGGTCTGCTTGTGATTCACAGATCTAAGTTTGTGGTCATCTCATTACTTTTCTGCTCAATGCTTAGCAGTAGAGTGCTGATACTTGGCACGATGACATTAGGATGAATGATTGATTCTGAACCAAATGCCAAAAAGAAAAGAGTTTCACCGGTGGCTCGTCATTTGGTGGTGCGATACGCCCACAGACATTTGGGGAGTTCGTCTAGCCATTTTCCTTTCTTGTCGGAAAGGGACTTCTTGAGGCAATTGAGAATCGTCTCGTTGGATGCTTCAGCTTGTCCATTGCTTTGAGGATATCTCGAAGTGGACATGTGCTGCTTGATGCCATACTTTTGGAAGAACTTCGCCAAATCTTTGCCCACGAATTGCCGACCGTTGTCGGTGACGATGTATTGTGGGATGCCAAATCGAAAAATGATGTTCCTCCATATAAAGCGCTCTATGCCCGCCTAAGTCATGGTAGTCATAGGCTCTACTTATACCCATTTGGTGAAGTAATTGGTTGCCACTATCATCATGCCCCTGCTTTTAGTAGCGGGCGACATTGGCCCTACCAAGTCGATTGCCCACTGTATGAATGGCCAAAGACTCGTCTGCGGGTGTAACTCGTTGGCAGGCAATGCTGGTACCGACTTGTAGCATTGGCAGTGGTTGCACTTTTGTTTTAACTCCTTAGCATCTTGATGCATGGTAGGCCAATAATAATATGTGTTAAGATCCTTCTGTGTTAAGGATCAGCCTCCAAAGTGATTTCCACAAACACCTTCGTGGATTGAGCTTAGAACCTTTAGGTCATCAAGAGACGCTAAACAGCGGAGATGTGGTCCAGTGTAGGATCTTTAGACGAGAATGTCGTTCCACATGTAGTAGCGAACTGCCTTTATTTGGAGTTTTCTAGAGTCCAATCTTTTCATGGGGAGTGTACTATTGACTAAATGTCCATTAAAAGGAGCGGGCCAATGGGGTCGTTTTTCAAGAGCATCCCTTTCACAAAAACCTACGGACCCCCTATCCTGCCACCAATTGGGAATTGTACTAACTTGTGACATTTTGACTCCCGACTCTGCTTCTATGCTTGGCCTATCTAGATACCCCACCGGGATAGAACGTTTAAGTTAGTGGTCAAGGGCGGAGCCTAGGTCGTTGTCTGCCTGCAGAACTGAGTAAGAGTGTAACTTGTAAGTTTGAAATGCCTTAAGTTGCTTGTGTACCTTCTTTAGGTATTGTGCCATCTTTGGATGTTTTGCCATGTACTCCCTAGTAGTA